TGCGCGATCTTGGAGAGTCTGAAATAGATGTTTCTCAATCAGGACATTAAAAATATACACAATTTATTCAGAGAAATAACTGACTACATACAGTACAGACATGAAGCTTTATTTCAAGATGGTAAGTTAAACTTTTAATTTCATGTATATTCAAATCAATTTCTGATACTAATACATTCATGTTTAATAATTCCTGAATAATTACATACATAAAGAAATAGGCTACATTTTGTGTCGGATCAGTTACCTGTGTCGGCAGTGCGCAGCAGACACACCCATCTAAACGGTGTAAATATATCGCTTATCCTGCCCAAAAAGACCATAAACATTGCAGATAACATATGAAGTAAAAATTAATTTACATACACATAACATCATAACACATAACTAATCCCATTTGACTGATTTGCTTCAAATCGGGTGATTTTTGGGTCAGTGTTTTAACTGTAGCTCAATGGTGCTTTCTGCCGGTAGAGAATAGTAAGATGGTGGATCGAACACTTCCGGTGGCTTCACTGCCTGTTGTCAGTTTAGAACGCGATGAGCGATCCAGTCATTAGTAATGGCGAAGTGATGCGTTCTGAACCAGTGAAGCTTTCATCACAATTGTATTGGAAAAAGGTTTTAAAACAGTTTATGCTGTGGCCATCTAGAGGTCATAAAAATAAATAACACCTTCCAAAGTGTTATGTTCCATTACAGCCAGTGGTTTTACATCTGGTTCTACAACTGATTTTTATTTATTATATTTTATATAAATAATGTTTATTGTCAAAGTCAATCATTTGTGACGGTGTACTGGCACTAAAATAAGTAAAATAAATAAAACATAAATTCATAAATTAAATCTATGATCTGTTTATTTTAACTCTGCCTCAGCCCTTAGACTGATTTTTTATGGCCAAAGTTCATTTTTGAGCTCAATATATAAATTATGATTTAAAAAAACAAAACAAAAAAACAATGCTAACACATTATAATGTAATATAATGTAAAGGAATCGGCGCTGAGGTTCGCTTCGTTTGAACCAGATACTGAAGCATTCACGTGGTTTTCAGGCGAATGAAGCTTCGGACGTCATAGATCATGTGCTTTTCTCAAAACGAATCAAGCTCCGATACAGTGCTTCAATGTGAAATGTGTTTTTTTTTTTATACAAGCTTCGAAGCTTCGGTGTTGAACGTAACATCACTACCAGTCATTATATATAGATCAGTGGTTTGCATATATATGCCGCCACAAATAGAGTTTAAGTCTGTGGGAAATACTGCGATAGTTTTACTCAAATGAAACTGTCAAATGCTCATGAAGTGATTCCCAGAGGGAGTCAGAGCAGTTCTGGAGATGTTGTTCATGTATTTATGTCCTCATGTAGTGAGACGACAGAAGCTGAAATCACCACGAGCGTCGCACACTTTGTATGTGTAGAAAACAAAACCGTGCGTCTGTGCCATTTACATACACAGAGACACGCAGAACATGCAGGATTCATAATTAAATAGTATTTTTGTGCCTTAATATTTACAGATACTAGTCCATATCGCATCTCTATTTAAGTGTACTGACCTACTTTTGATTAATTCATCCAAACTTTGACAAATTCCACGTCATACAGTAAATTCCATTTATGACTGGATTCCGCGATTCCTTCCACATTTTCTGCTTCGCGGAAATCATAGATAATATTGAGGTGTTTTACAACTTCAGTGTAACGTTAGTGGATTGTGATTTATTGCAAATTAAGCAACATCTGCTGCCGCCTTACCTTTGAGAGACAACTGGTGCGTGATCACTGAAGCAGCTGCAGTTAGCAAGCTCTTTCGGAGTGAGAGTGAATTCCGCATTGATTGGTCGGACTCGTGACTCCCAACAAATCAGATGGGCGGAGATTGCTTTAGGCCACAGAGGGGTGAGTTCTGACAGGCTGCATCAGAGCCAAATAGCTCATTTCAAAATTAAGTTATTTTATTGGCGAATCGGTACTGAAAATGACCGATACGATAATCATAAAAATGCTTAATATCGGCACCGATAATCGGCCAGGCAGATGATAGTGTGCAGTAGTTCCTTTTTGAAAATAATTATTTATAAATTCCATTTGTTAATGTGAGTCTTTGCCATCAAGTTTCTTATTTGTTTGCTGTATTGGCTCTGATTAAATGGTGTAAATAATATTACTGCTTTGGCAATTGAATGATGAATAGGGACTAACCAGACACTGATTTAAGATTTACTAGAATATGGTTAAGCAAATATTTGAATGCTGGAGATACCAAAGTAAAGTAAAGCTGTACAAACCCTCTGGAATAGATAAACACGTACAGTTATTGCCATTTTAAATTCTTGTTTATTTTGGTTTCAGCCTCACTTTACTTCATCTCCCTTAGGATGGTGAAATATTTCCTTCTTTATAAGCATGTGCATTTGCTCTGTTTCATTTTCATTTTATGACCCTATGAATAGGCAGGGGATTAAAAATAAATCATCATCATTATGAAACTATTGCTTGTGTAGCGCCTCAACCTAGAAGCACTCTCTATTGGCCGAAACAAATGAGACATTAGGGTCGGACCGTTACACTCCTGTCTCCATGATGCAGTCTCCCTGTGAAAAGAGCCCTGGAGAATACATGAGCGACTTTGTACATACTCATGACCTGGTTGTTATTATTATCCTTGAGACGATCACAGGGAAGTGTTGAAAGGTTGGCGCAGCTGTGAAAAACATCAGTGATTCGGTCTCGCTCCTAGGCTATTAAACATCACTGAAAGCTGTGGTTTCAGGAGTTGTTTAGACCAACACCTTTTACAACAACCGGGTGAGACCTGTTAAAGTTTGTGAGCGGTGTGCTTATTTAAATGCAATCTCGGACATTGAGGATACAATATAAACATGTTAGATGACGGTTTCCCTTTCTTTCTTCCTCCCCCCAGAGATCCCTTCCTCTGAATAGTTGAATGATAGAACCAGCTTCTGTTCCACTTCTAGCATCTGTGGATACACATACTCATACACCTTTTTTCTTCTGAAAACTCCCACCATTGTGTCATTTCCACCAAATCCCAAATATTGGGATTAATCACATTAGTTACATTAGATTAATCACATTAATGTTGTTTAATCACATTGTGTGATGGAAATTCAATTAAACCTTTCTGAACTGAAATGACACCTTTGTTTTGCTTAAGCTAAATAAGTTGATGCATACTAAATACATTTCAATAATAATTTTACATTACACTTTGGCAAAATTATAGCTATAACATAATTTTAACAGTCTGCTATTTTTTCTTCATTTTTTTTCACATTTCTAAACTTGCTTTTAACTTATACTGTTCTCTCAATGTAAACAAGTACACTAACTTGAGTATCTTCCAAAAGCAACTTTTTCAGTATAAGATTTTTGTTTTGGTTTAGACAAAAAATAAATAAAATAAAAATTATTACCACAATTATTTAATTTACATTTAGTCATTTAGTAGACAATTTTATCCAAAGCGACTTACAAATGAGGACAATAGAAGCAATCAAAACCAACAAAAGAGCAATAATATGTAAGTGCTGACACGTGTCAGTTAGTCTAATGCATTACACGTAGCAAGGATTAAAAAAAATTAATAAAAAACATGTAGATAGAATAGAAACAGAATAGAGATTGGTAGTGTTAGAGGGTCAAGTTTTAGTTTATTTATTTATTTATATAAATAAAGAAAGAAAGAAAACAAGTAGATACAATAGAAATAGAAAGTTCTTAGTGTTAGAGGGTCAAGTTTAGATGGAAGAGATGTCTTTTGCCCTTTTTTGAAGATGACTAAGGACTCAGCTGCTCAAATTGAGTTGAATTTAATGGTATTTATTTTACTCTTTGTTACCATTTTAATAATTGATATTTTTCAAGTGTAAAACAATACATTCTAAAACCTTAGTAGTGAAAATCAATTATTTAATTATTACATGAAAAACAAAAGTAAGCATAAAACATCAGTTTCAAAACTTTTAGTTTTTTAAAAGATATTGTGACTCTCGAATGTGTGATTCTGATTGGTCAGTCATGTCAATCTGCTGTTAAAGGGATAGTTCACCCAAAAATAAAAATTCTGTCACGAATTACTCACCCTCATGTCTTATCAAGAAGACCTTTGTTCATCTTTAGAACACAAATTAAGATATTTTTGATAAAATCTGAGAACTTTCTTACCCTGCATAGACAGTAATGTAACTGAAATGTTCCCAGGCCCAGAAAAGTAGTAAGGACATCATTAAAATAGTCCATGTGACATCAGTGGTCAAGCTATGAGAATAATTTTTGTGCACAAAGAAAACAAAAATTACGACTTTATTCAACATTTCTTCTCCTCCAAATAATGTCATCCGCCATTATCAAGAGTACCACAACTAAAGAATAAAGTTGTTATTTTTGTTTTCTTTGCACATGAAAAGTATTTTTCGTAACTTCATAAAATTACAGTTGAACCACTGATGTTACATGGACTGTCCTTACTGCGTTTCTGGGCCTGGGAACATTTCAGTTGCATTGCTTTCTATGGAGGGTCAGAAAGCTCTTGAATTTCATTAAAAATATCTTACTTTGTGTTCTGAAGATGAATGAAGGTCTTACGGGTTTGGAACGACATGAAGGTGAGTAATTAATGACAGAATTTTTAATTTTTGAGTGAACTATTCTTTTAAATGTTCACTAAACTGTTTATTTGAATCTCTATTATGACAATGTGCTTTCTTTCTTGTCAAATAATTAAAATTGTATTTCATGTTTATTTATTTATATGATAATCAGTGGGATAATGTAGTAAACAGTCATTCGGTTATTATTACAAAATGAATCCAGACAGAATAAAACTGAAACCTTAAACTTGATATTGGGGTTCATTTAATCCTTACATATTACTGACATGTGGATGTTTATTCTGATGAAACCCAACCTTCCTTTCTCTGCCTGTTGTAGGAATTGAGTGTAAATTCTCTTTTATTTCTCTCCACAGGAGTGGCAGAATTCCATCCAGAAGAATGCAGGCTTGGCCTTCATCGAGCTTGTGAACGAGGGCAGGTAATTATCTAATCCCGTCCTCTGACCCTTTGTTAGCAGGCTCCTCATTATCTCCTGGCCTACAACGCTGCGTCGCGTGTGTACAATCAGATTCTATTTGGGAGGAAATCAATGTAATGTGGAAAGGGGATCAACAGAGTGACCTAGAGTTCAAGGCGTCTGTCAATAACATGGCTTGTTCCCGTGGGTTCCCATGTGTTTCAGAGAGGCTTTCTGAGAGGGCAGCAGCGCCTTAGTTTCTCGCCCACCTCTTGGGAAATCTTTCTCGTATCTTGCTGTTTTCAGACGGGTTTATGTATCATCTGTTGGACTCTTTTACTCAGACTCCCTTTGGGATGGAAGGATCTGTCTTCAATTTCAAGCCCTTAGATCTTTCAGATGGCTCTCATTTCTATGTTAGCAATGGAAATTCATGCTAATGAATGCTGCTGTGCTGATGAGCGCTCCAGAAATGCTAATGAATGCAGTGATGCACTGAGGCTTCTCCACCTTCACTGCTGGCCATTTTTACAGCTCTTTTTCAAACATATGCTTTTTTTTGGAAAGCAGGGTCTGGCACACCAGCACCTGTCAGAGAGATACCAATGTAATCACAGCTGTAGAAGTGCATATCAAATATGTCATAATATGACATATCAAATATGTCATCATAATGCCTGCTGCACTAAAATGAATAGGACCAATGCTGAATTAGTGTTTTCAAAGTAAAGTTGATCTTCTATAATGGCGTTTATAACACTGTTCAAATTCTTTCTAAGCCTGAAGAAAAGAGCTAAATCTATCGCATTGCAGTGATTATATTAGGTGATAAATCCATTGTACTTAGATGGATCAATGATGTGATTCAAATTTTTTCGTACAGATTCATTAAATTATTCTAAATTGTGTAAAAAAAAAAAGTGCTTCAAACACCTCTTTTATGATTTCTCATTTTAAATTGTATAATGATATATATATATATTTTTTAATCTATAATGCACTTTACTCATACCCACAGCACTACAAATAGCAAAATCAATTAAAACATAAATTGCAGAAATAATGCAATACAAAAATACAGTAAAAACACACAATAAATCAGTATGCTATTGAAAAGCTTATCAAATTAACCAAGAAAAGTTATTTTAAAAAGATGGATTTTTAACAGTTTCTTAAAAGAGCTTAATGAGAATGAGAAGGCATGTACTAAAATCACAAAGAGATAGGTTAGAATAAGAGTTTTAAAATCAATGCGCAGAAGCCAATGCAAATCGCAAAGCATGCCTTTAATAAATGTCTTGGTAAATGATAAATATGTGACCCTGGACCACACAACCAGTCTTAAGTCGCTGGGGTATATTTGTAGCAATAGACAAAAAAACATTGTATGGGTCAAAATTATACATTTTTCTTTTATGCCAAAAATCATTAGGATATTAAGTAAAGTGAAGATATTTTGTGAATTTCCTACCGTAAATATATTAAAACTTAATTTTTGATTAGTAATATGCATTGCTAAGAACTTCATTTGGACAACTTTAAAGGCGATTTTCTCAGTATTTAGATTTTTTTGCACCCTCAGATTCCAGAATTTCAAATAGTTGTATCTCGGCCAAATATTGTCCTATCAAACCAGCCAAACACGCACACACATCACCTCTTTTATCACCGCAGTCGCTTTCTCATTCCTTCCATCATTCTCCATTTCTGTCTACCTGCTTCTTTTTTCCTCACGATTCCCTTCGGACTCATGTTCTGTCTGTTGTATCAGTTCAGAATTTCACCAGTGACAGGAATACAGCACCTTCTTTTCTGTCTTCCTTTCGTTTCCCATTCCTCCCTCTGGTTCTGTCTGGCACTGGGGGCAGGATGTGACAGTGTAAAGGGGGAGTGGGCTCTGCTCTGTTCAACATCTCCCACCCTCCAGTTGTAAAATGTTATGCTTCCAGAAAGGTTCAAGGCAGGGTCTCTGAACTGAGAGTTGGAGGGGAAAACATGTGAAGGACAGTATTAAAAGTAAACATGTAAAATCGGAGGAGATTGTGCATCATGTCTGTGAAAGGTTCTGCAGTAGTCTGCTTAGTTAGGGTCATGTTTTGTATGTAATTGGGCCTGTTCGCTTATTTTGGCAGCTTTTCTCAAATCTTTCGCCCAGTGTCTCACTGTTTTCAGAAAACAGAAGAATTCTGACTCCTTCACTTGATTGTCTAGCTGTCATTATCAGTTCAAAGAATCAGAATTGCCTTATTTGCCACTGCAGGAACAGAATTCAATATTTATTTTATATTTTGTCTGAATCTTCGACTGAATCAGTCGGGCTTCTTCACTGAATTTTTCAAACAACTCATTCAGTAAACCGCATGCTGTGTCTATTTATATAGGCTACTTTTAAAGGCGTCATGAACTGCCTTCTGTTTTTTTTATTTTGTAGCGTTCTCTGAGGTCCACTTGTAATGGTATCAATTGTGTCTATTTATATAGGCTACTTTTAAAGGCGTCATGAACTGCCTTCTGTTTTTTTTTTTATTTTGTAGCGTTCTCTGAGGTCCACTTGTAATGGTATCAAGATTTTTACATCAAAAACATAATTTAGAAGTAATAGGCTATATTCTGTCCTGTTTTGACCCCCCCTCATCAGAACGCTCCATTTGAATAGTCGTGGCGGATTGTAGACTTGGAAGTAAACGCCCTATGCTATGATTGGTTAATAGTTCTGTATGTTTGACAGTCTACGTCCTTCACAGATGAACACTGCTGTGATTTAGGTTAAAAACGCAAAAATACTCATATCAAACCCCTTTAACGCTGTTTAGGATTTTTTTAAACTTTTTTTTTCATAAGATGTCTCTTATGTTCCCCATGGCGAAAATAGTATAAATGTACAGTAATATTGTGAAATATTATCACAATTTAAAATATTATATATTTTTATATATTTAAAAATTTTATTTATTCCTGTGATTGCAAAGCTGCATTTTCAGCAGCCATTACTCCAGTCTTCAGTGTCACATGATCCTTCAGAAATCATTCTGATATGCTGATTTGAAGCTCAAAAGCATTTATTATTATCAGTGTTAGTAGATAATATATGCTGCTGGTAACCACGTGTTCACAAATGACGACAGATTTAATAACGCAGCCATTCCAGCAGTAACATTCAACACTATAGAGGCATGTACCCTGTAAAACAGATGAGAGCTGGAAGTATTAGTTGAATATACCCTGCTTAAACAAGCTTCCTTACTTCACAGTGACATTTAGAGTGAACCTCGGAACACCCTTCCTCATCATTCCCACTGCCCCAAATTCCCAGGATTGGCCAAATTCTCCCAGACGCTCAGTGGAAGACGGCCACACTCTAGGGACATGCTTAGCTTTCCTTTTTCACTCTAATTGGCCCCTCTGGTCCGATTCTTTCTGCTTTTCCAGCCTCACTCAAAGCACAGTGGAGAATGTATTATTCTCACAAATACTGCTGGATATTCTGCCAAATGTGGAAAAAATTCACAGATTATCAATGTCAGGCACATTATGTGGATGCCAAAAAATTCTAAAAAACACACTGAGAAGTTTACTTATCATTTTACAGTATTCAGCTAAATATATTTATTTAAAAAATGAGGTAAAATATGCCTTCAACATTAAACATAACGGCGCTGTACTATTTAATCCCTGTACTATTTAATAATTTATTTAAAATCTCCCATAATGCTGTCCTCTGTGGAGCAGAGCTGGTCACTCTTTTAAATGACTTAGGACTAGGGCTGGGTATCGAGTTCGATACTTTTTAGGCACCGACTGAATTGCCTCGATACCATCGAGTATCGAAAAACGTCTCGTCGTTCGGTACCAAATTTCGATACCTAAGGGGTTAATCTCATCAACGTCAGTGAGGCGCAGATCGATCAGTGTTTGACATCCGCGAGAGCGATGCGAAAACGTATGGAGCAATCTGCTCGTGGTAGCCTAATACACCGATAGGTCTGCACAGTCGGTCCGCGACTGTGACAACCAGAGATGTGGTTCACACGTGAGTATTTAGTGTGAATGCGTCCCAGCCCCGTAGCTGTAAGGCTACATTTACACCGGTGCGCTTTTGTTTTAAAATGAAAACGATCCTCGTCTTACTGGCATTTCCACTGCGTTTCAAGCCGGCTTTCCACTATCTCCGACAAATGACAGACCGAAAGTCATTCATTTCCAATGGAGAGTAGCGCGGGAGCTGTGTAGAGTTTCAATCATATGAAGATGTCCGTTCATACTACAAGACCGAAAGCGCATGTTATGTGACCATTCATGCACACTGTAGCATCATGCTACATAAGACCAGGGTTTAAATTGGGCCGGGCCGTCTGGGGCTGAGCCCCGGCCGGCAAATAGACTCCAGGGCTTGACATTAACTAATTAACGCCAGACAAGTAACATGATTAAAACATCAGTAACCAAAAATAACTATGTAAACATCAAAACGCAATATTATTCTGATTTTATTACATTTAGAGTAAGTGGCGAATAGGCATGTTATGTGACCATTCATGCACACTGTAGCATCATGCTACATAAGACCAGGGTTTAAATTGGGACGGGCCATCTGGGGCTGGGCCCCGGCAAATAGACTCCAGGGCTTGACATTAACTCATTAACGCCAGACAAGTAACATGATTAAAACATCAGTAACCAAAAATAACTATGTAAACATCAAAACGCAATATTATTCTGATTTTATTACATTTAGAGTAAGTGGCGAATAGTGGATATCTAATGTATATAATGCATCTATTGATGGTATAAGGTTGCGACTGCTGAGGCGAGGCTCACGCAGCCTGTCCAGGAGAAATCAAAACGCGCAACACTAAGAAACTCAGTATCCTGAGGTAAAAATTCAAAATGGAAAGTTTTTATGTTTAAAATACTCATTAAACACACACTACTGGCACCTACTGGCATTTTAAATCAGTTGAAAAGTATCATTTCCACCATAATTTCTTGTTTGTATATTAAAAAATATTTAAAATAATCTC